GTGACAACGTCCCAGGTTTTCCTCTCCGGGGACGGGGGACCCGCCGTCTCCCCGACGGGGGGAGGATCGTCCGGCAGCTCGGTGTCATCGAGCTTCATCCTCTCCTCCCCTCCCGCCCTCTTCTCCGGCGGAGTGGCGCGCCGTCCCGTCGGCGGGGGACCGAGGGGGGGGCGGCATTTTCCCCCGGTCCTCAGCCTCCTTCGCCGCCCGTAGGAGGTCGGAGACCATGGCCTTGAGGGCCATGATCTCCTCCCTCATACGTTCCTCCCTCTCGTTCCTCTCCCCACTCACCCTGGTCGAGAGGGCGTCGACGGCGACCTTGGTAAACAAGGCCCCGTTCCTTATCTGGGCAGCAAGATCCCTTCTCAAATTCCTGCTGACACTCACCGCGTAGTCAATCCCGCTGGCGTGCTCCAAGACGCGCGCCACTATATCGCGGGTGGGGAGCTGGGGGATTTGCTCCTCCATCTCCCTCTTCTTCATCTGCATCGCGGCCTTATACTTTGGGGGATCGTAATCCCCCTGGAGGGCCTTCTCTTGTTTGCGGGCGCGTACCGCGATGCCCTCCCCCGTTGTACCGGGCCTGCCCCGGCCATCCTTTTTTTCAGGGGGGTCTTCCTCCTCCCCGCTGGAGCTGTCGGGGGGGCGGGCCACCTTCGCGCCCTTCCCCCTCCCGCCGCTCCGACTCCTCTTCGTGGCCCCCGAGCGGGACGTGTGGGACTTGGTACTCCCATCGGAGCCATCGTCCCCCTCGGGGTCCACTGCGCTGGCCGCGTCGTCCGTCGCGAAGGCCTCGGAGTCCTCGCTTCGCGCGGTCCCCTCCCCTTCGGTGTTCCTCGGGGAGGGGGACCCTTTGGACCTCTTGCTTATCTTGCTCGCAAGGGCTGTCGAGTCCCCCTCCGTGTCCTCCGGATCATCCCGGACTTGAGGGTCCGACATGGTCCGGCGGGCATCCTTTTTCCTCTTATCCCGGACCTTGGAGGACTTGGGGCCGGGCTTCCAGGCCCCGCGCCCTCCAATGTCCAGGGACACCTTCTCTACGCCCACGACCGTGGGGCCAAGCAGCCCTGACGGCCCAGGCTGTTGGGAGGGCGTCTCGCCATCCTGTACCCCTCCTTCCACGCCCGCCGCTGGTGTACGCGGCTGCGTGCCCTCTCCCTCCTCCTCCCCAGGTTTAAAAAAAAAAGAATTTTTATTGTTCGCCATAAGAGAATCAATTCTCACTCCGTGCAGGGCTCCGCCGACCGGGGTATACCCCCTCCGGGCCACGACCGACCGCGAGACATGACCACGGACGTCGGCCGCGGCCCGAG